AGGCTCAGTATGCAAACTGTGGGGCGTGATATGTACAGTTGCCTAAATGGCTACTAACTACTACCAACAACATATCTTTTCCTGTTTAGAAAACTAGGAAATTCAGTAGCAAAAACTAATACACATACCTTTGCTTTGCTAGCATCGCAGTAGGTGAAAGCTACATGTTTGTCACCTCCTTCTTCAACCCATTTACTTTCATCTACATGATTTTTTCTTGCACTATTAAAGCATACACACAAAAAGTTATCTACACCATCTTCCTTTTGGTTCCCTGGAGCTGGCAGTAGCCAATGGGAAATAATTGCATACACTCCAGGTGCAATAAATGTGTTAGTTTTACCTGCACTAAATGGTGGAGGCAGTAGTTGTGCCTGCTTGGTAAAGGTGTGTTTCTGGGACATGAGGACATCTGGATTAATTTGAGATATCTGTGATTTTGATATGAAATCTATGTTTTGCACCTTCTGATGTGAGCAAAGGAAAGATCTGCATGTGTACCTTCAGGATCCAGTATGCATCATTTCAGTGTAGAATTGTCTATGTTATATAATTAGCAGGACAAGGATCTTACTACAAAGGATATTGTCAGTGGTGAGCTGGGATACAAGAGCAGTCTAAGCATTTATTATCTGCATGCACTCTGGGTGAAGTGTGTAGTCTGTCCAATGTAGCTGTACTGAACTCTAGAGGCATTAGTGAGGTGTGTTTACGAGATCTGTGGATTACTTTGAGGGATGTGACAGAGTAGTGATTGTGATATGAGAAGATCTATGTTTTGCACCCTCTTATGTCTGAGAAAAGAGAAGAGGTGCATGTGTACCTTCAGGATGCAGTAAATCTCATTTCCATACAGAATTAGGTAGATTATGTCAATAGCAGGGCATAAGGCTTGTATTACAAAAAATATTGTCAGCAGTGAGAGGAATATGAGAGGATTGTAATAGTGAAAATGTAAGTTGAAATGGCATCCTGTGAGTAAGTATAAAGGAATTGTAAAAGGCGTTGTAAATTGCACACATGTGGATTCTTTCTAGGGTGTTGGCTAAGTATGCGAGTGTACCCCAGAATCTGGAACCTCCTATATATAATAGTGCCAAGGACCAGTATGATGATATGTTATGTGCATATTGAGGTAATATGCTCAAAGAGGATGGAGGGAAAGTGGTGTGGGCAACCTTTTATTTTTCTTTTTTGTCCTTTAATAGTGATAGATGAAATCCTGTGGATGAGTGAAGGGCTTAAAAGGAGGTGAAGAACTCCTGTGGAGTTGGCAGAGTAAAGGTTTGTGTGTTAATGGGGTATATTAGGACACTGCTGAAAGAGGGCAGAGTTAAGTTTGCCTGGGAAACTTTAACTGCATTTCCTGGTTTTCAGAAGTCTGCATTTTGCTCAACTCAGCATTATGCTAGGGCACAACATGCCACCAAGCAACTTTAGCTCTGTGTTCACATAGGCTTTTGCTATTGAATTTGGCCCGGTGTTTCTGTAAATTTTGCTAAAAAGAATTCCTTAAATGTATGTATGTCCCTTTGCTTTCTTCTTAAATATTTGTTTCATGATTTTCTCTTATTCACTGGAACCCACTTAAAAAAAAGAGAACATATGGTTACCAGTGTTGAAGGTAGATCAGGATACTAGAGGGAGTTCACTATGTTTAGTCACTGCCTTCATGGATCTTGATGTCAGTGTAGCATTGTATCATCTCATGGTAACAGGGCAGAATAAGAGGAAAAGAAGGGCATATCTAAAGGAAATTCTTGTGTTCAAACAGGCCTATACACCACCAAAAAAAAAAATGTGCATGTGTACAGTATGTTGAGCTCAGAGGGGCCACATCTCTGGTGCTTTCCAACATTTTCTTCTAAATGCCATCATGTAGACTTGGTCACGATTGTGAATGTGTGCTGATCTGAAAACAAATAGGAATGAGGATTCTTGGGGTAGCTGGGGAAGGGGTTCTTCCCCAAAACCTCTTAAAATATTGGATGCAATCTTCTGTATTTTAGGCAATATTTGGAAAACATTTATTCAAAATCTATAGGGGGTGGATGGGGCAACCAGTGGCATGTTTGGAAGGTTTCCTTCTTTCCCTGTCTTCCTGAGCATCTGTTAGAGTCAATTGGAGCTGCTGGATGTTCAGCACTTAAAAATCCAGCTACTTGTTTAGATCTCGAAATATGAATTTAAGTGCCAGTTTTGAAAATCTTGCTAAATCTGGCAATATTCAAAATTGGTGGGCTATTTTTGTTGAAGAAGAAAGCAGAGAACTTCAGCTGTCTGAAACTGAATCTGAGTATGAAAGAGATGGTGCAGATGGGTAAAGGAAAATATTTTGAAGAATTTGCTGCCAGTGTACAGTCTCCTTTGGTTGAAGGTTCATATTCACAGTTGGCAGGGCCGGCTCTAGGCACCAGCAAAACAAGCTGGTGCTTGGGATGGCACATTTTTAGGGGCGGCATGGCCGGCGGCAGAATGCCGCCCCTAAAAATGTGCCCCGGCCGCCCTAGCTCACCTCCGCTGCTGCTGCCACGGCGCACGAAACAGCTGATTCACGCGCCGCTACTCGCCATCCCTCCCAGGCTCTCAAGCCTGGGAGGGAGGGGGAGCAGCGGCGCGCGAATCAGCTGTTTCGCGCGTCGCGGCAGCTCGGGGTCTCCCCCTCCCTCCCAGGCTCTCAAACCTGGGAGGGGAGGGAGGGGGGGACTCCGGAGTGGCCACGGCGC